AGTCAAGGAAGTCCATAAGGTAGCCATTTTATGTAGGAAAGAACTGAAGCTTAGAGGGGCTGGGCAATTTGCTTGTAGGGACAGAGGTAGTTAGTGGCCACCTGTGTTTTGGTGAAAGTTCATGTTCTGATCTAAATCGAAGGGACTGGACCAACTTTCTCAACTCACTATCTAGAAGATTGGGATTGGTTTCGTATACAGTATCTCTACACAGTGGTGGCAGGGAAGTGAATTTTAGACTATACATGGAAGGTACAATTGCTGTTGGCTTCTGCAGGTAGAGAGTGGAGATAGGAGTTTGCTGCAGTTATCTCACCTTGGGAATCAAGTGATCTTTTCTCAATTGATTAGGTGTGCTTCACATTGACCCCATACTGAGCTAAAGTGGACTTGGGGGCCTGTCTACAAAAATCTGTTTTCCAATGGTAAGATGGTCTTGTCAGTATAAAATGCCCAAGAGGCTCTTTCTGTGCAGGTTTATTTGGCCACAATGATTTAGCTATTGCCCTTTATGTTTCCTAATTGGTAGCTGTCCAGGTGGCATCAGTTCAGAGGCATCATACTGGAACACAACTATGACTGTTCAGAGGGTACCATAAACAGAGGTTGAAAACAAATGTCTTCATTATTTTCTTGCTGAGATAGGCATGACAGGTAAGTTCTACAAGCTAAATTTTTATCATGGACAAGGTTAACCTGAATAAATAAATAAACAGATGTATATGTATTATACACAAACATGTACTATATAAGTATATATATGACAAGCAACACTTCTCATATTTTTAAACTGGATGAAAATGTCAAGGTTTTCCTATTCTTCGTTATACAACTTACACTGAATTAACATTAATCATCTTTTGCTAACATTTCTAATATTCATTTTTTTTTAAAAAAAAAAAAAGCAGAGAGGACAGACTATAATTTCCTCGCTCAAAATGATGAGTCAGATTTTCAACCGTTGTGCTTATTTATATCATTACTTCTGTTGGTTTGTGTAGATATAAAGCAATGCTGCTATGCTGCTACCTGTGTTGTCAGAGGTAAAACAGATCTATAACTTAGATCCATTAACTTATTAAGAGGACTGTTGTGGAAATAGACTTTTCTATATACAGAGAGAGACCGGGGGGCATATACAAACTCTATTATAGTAGCTTCTGCAAGGCTGCTGAGGAAAACAAACAAACAAACAAACAAACAAACAAAAAACATGCATGAAGGACAAGGCCAGGAAAAGGAACACCAAGGTGTTAGCTGGGATTTTGAATCCAAACTGCAATGTGAATAGTGATTATTGCTGGATTGCAAAGTGGATGCTTTAATGCAGGCTAGAGACATACTCATGTTCTCCAAACATGTAAGCATTGCCCCTTTCATCCTAAGTGCACCCAGGAATTTTATCCCTCTGTGGGAGAGCAAGTTAGTTGATAAGAGGTAAAAATAAGAATCATTGACATCAAAATCTAGAGTTCTGCTATTCTGGGTAGAATGCCTTCAAGAGGAATTTTCTTCCAAGTGTGGCTTCAAAGAAAACTTGCCAAGAAGAGAGAGCACACCCAGTCAGGCTCATTGTAGAGAGAGTTCTATACTCAGGCACAGCCAGCCAACAAATTGTTCTTTCCCTTGACCCTTTCCTTCTTCCCTCTACCACTTCTTAGTAGAGGATTGAGGACTGGGTATATGGTGAAAACTCCACCTATGCTTTCTCAATGTCAAAGTAGATTTTCTGTTTGGAAAACTTGGTGGAAGAGGCATCAAATCAATTATTGGTGTCTTGCAAATGAGTGATCTGATCAATAGAATTTTTTACTTTTATACTTGTCTTAGGACCCAGAAGATACTCATTTATTCATTCAACAAATCTTTGTATGCAAGCCCTACATACCAGAATAGGATTTGTGGTTGCAAAGATCACCAAGAAGCAGTTCTTGACAATGAAAAGCTCCTTTCCTCTTCAAGAGACACAGTATTAGAGGAAGAAATCAATCAACTGACTTGATCATAATGGGAGGAGAGAGAGAGAATACGTCATTTGCCATAGCTCTGAGATAGCTGTTCTCATTTCCCTGGAAAGCAAACACTTTAGGACTTCAAGCTTCCTGCTCTGAAAGACTGCATTGAATAAGTTCTGTTGACTCCTGTGTTTCCAAGATGCCTGATGCTTTTTGGCTTTGTTCTTTGTTTTCCAGAGCTGACCTTTTCTTAATGATATTTTACTGTAACCGAGGTTCATGTTGCATCAGATAGTATGATTTAGAAAAACAGAATCCCACAGGATCTTCTTGGTAATTTTTCAGTGGTTTATTAGAATTTTAAATACTTCAGAAAATGGACTTTAGAAAACCCACTTGAAAGAATTTGAAAGAGAAAAAATATTGACCTTTATAATAAATTGATACTGTTATAAAAATACACCCTAAGAACACTGGAAATGGTCCATTTAGAGTCAGACACTAGCAAAATAAGCTCTTTAATGTATCTCATAAATATATTTTAGATGCCTTTCAAATGGTGAGAGAGGAGTACAGGACAGCTTTTCATCCATAATCACTATTTTTTCTCACCCCAGCTATCCATCCAATGTAATTTATACATGACATTTAGATAGAAGTGGGAAAGTTTCTATTTCCTGTTTTTAAACACGGGGCATGGACAGTATCAATTAGATTCTATTTGTTGTAATAACATTGATTCTAGTAGAGGTTACACATACATAAGAATTGTGTGATGTAATAAGAAAAGTAGTCAAACGTAGCTTGGAAAATGAAGGCCATCGTGATTACAGTTTTAACACAAAAATATGTTGTCTTTTTGAATATAGAATGAAGGTTATGGTTTGAGATTAAACAGAGATCACTGTAAGAGTACTTAGGTATGGAAGAAGAATGAGTCTCCCTAAAAATGTTCTCTGCCTCTGCAGAAAATGTCTGGGAGAATTGCTTCTGCGATTCCTCTTTAGTTTAACCCTCTGAGTCCCTTGGTTTTGGCTTCAAGAGTGCGTACTAGCTAAGCGGAGTCAAGTTCATATTCTGAGTATAGATATCCTCTAAAATAGGGAAGATCCAAAGGATCAACAAGCAAGTAGGAATGGGGTTTTAAGCAAAGAACAAAAGAGCCGGGGAAATAAATGTGTTGATCACAAGGCTGACAAGATCTCTTGAGTCAAATGTAAGTGTGTTAGAAAAGATAGTGTATTAGTCTGTTCTCATGCTGCTAATTAAGACATACCCAAGACTGGGTAATTTATAAAGGAAAGAGACTTAATTGACTCACAGTTCCACATGGCTGGAAAGGCCTCACCATCACGGCAGAAGGTGAATGAGGAGCAAAGTCATGTCTTACATGCGGGCAGGCAACAGAGCTTGTGCGGAACAACTCCCATTTATAAAACATCAGATCTCGTGAGACTTATTCACTACCATGAGAACAGGATGGGGAAAACTGCCCCCATGATTCAATTATCTCCACCTGGCCCCACCCTCGACACATGGGGATTATTACAATTCAAGGTGAGATTTGAGTGGGGACACAGCCAAAGCATATCAGATAGAAAGCTATAAAAAATAAATCTCCAAATCATAACAGCTCAACACAATGAAGGATTGTGTTTTACTCACTTCACCAGTTGTAGCTGGTGGGAGTCAGGCATCACACAGCCACTCTTCACCCAGACACAAGGAAGCAAGAGCATCTCATTTTCTACCCCTCGCAGTCACCATGGCAGAGATGAAGAGAGCTGGAGAGCCGGTCATCTGCTCTTAAATACTTAGCTCAGGTGGAACACAAGTCTTTTCTGTCATTGTCCATTGGGCAGAGTTGTTTAATGGACCCATTTGCAAGGATGGGGAAATGTGCGTGGATGTTTCTGTGCATGGATTCATTCTCTACAAAAACAATGGAGCAGCATTTCTGCCAGGCTGTTTGAAGGACAGTCTCCCATCTGAGAGGTTCTGTGGCTGAGCCACCAAGCTCAGAGGGGCTGTGGAGGGCTTATCACACTGGCAAGTTACAAAGCTGTTGCTTTAGACTTGGGTTAGCCTGTGCTTGTGTTCTTGGAACTGATGCTTTTGACTGTCCTCTTGGTTCCCAATTCTGCCTTTACCTGGAAAGCTGCTGTATTCTCTTAGCATAGCTACTTGGGTCAGATTGGAAGGAAGAGGTCACACACCAGCATGCTTCTGTTCCTGATTTATGTTGCTGATGATACTGACAGCAGCAGGAGCAGAGGCAGTAGATTTGTGGGTGGCATTTCTTTGTCCATGGTCTCCTAAAAGGAATACTGCTGCCTATGGCATGTTCAGTACAGGATGAATACAACAGAGTTCAAAAAGAAGCCACTTTCTTCTATACCTGCCCTTCAGTAGTCAGGCCTATATTTCTATTCCAGAAAAATGTACACTAACAATCTGCCCACATTCTTTTAAAGGAGAGTTTACCATAATCTGGCCTCACTGGTTCAGCATCTGCACAGTCACCTCCCCACTGCGGGGAGAAAACAGATTCCATTCCACGGGACCTTGAATGGTATCTCTGCCTTCAGCTCTGGAACTCCAGTCCCCATTCTTAGGCTGGATCAGGATTTGAGCTCCTGTTTACATGAGTTGGGCAAACATCCACCTACGGGTAAATGAAAGGGCACAGCCAGGTTCAATGATGATAGGGAGTGACTCTGGAATACATGGTATCCACTACTTCAGCATCTTCTGGCCAGACCCATGGTGGACTCGTGTCACAAATTGCAGGAACACAGGAACAATGGATGACCAAGGAAATACTAAAAGGGTTGGGCCACTGAGAATGTTATCAGCAGCATCCATGCCAGAACATTGCACAACAGAAGACAGTGCCAGCAGCTTTTGTTAGGGCAAGAGACGAGGAATTTAGCATAGATAACAGGGCTCAGAACATCAGGCACAGTTGTCCTCTGCATAAATGTCAGTCTCCTTGACATGGGCCACTGGCAGCCTGATGGGGACCTTGGCAGGTACTGGCATTCTCAGCAGTGCTTGGCAGGTATGGAGGGTCATGCTTTTGGAGGGCACCAGCAGTAGATATCCTGCTTTTGTCTTGGCAGAGATAGGAAACTGGATCCATAGACAGCAGAGACAGGGGAGGAATAATATGACCTATACCATGTGTCATGCAGGAGGGCTGAGTCACAGAGCACACCAGAGACTGTGCTTATGATTTCCAGAAACATGTTGGAGAAATCTGAGGAGGATTGGAGTTTCTGCAGAGTTGGCTGAATACGCAAAAATACTTGCTGGCCTATGAATGAGACCTAGGACTCCATTGAGATACAGGCATCCAGGTAGTTCTTTTTCAAGCTTTTGTTCTTTAAATATTTGTTCAGTACTTAGTTGAACTAAATCCAACTAAATTTACTTTCAAAAGTCAAAACTAAATTTCCACTAATAAAAGTTATAAACCTTTTAAAACTTCAAAACAAGGAATTATATATATTTTATGTAATGATAACTTTTAGCTCTCATTTTGTTTATGTTAGGATTTATTGTGTGCAATTGTTTTGATCCTAATAACTTCTTGGGAGTCACCTGGTACCATACACATTTGTAAAATTAAAGCAGTCCTTCATTTCTGTAGGCAGCCTGTGCTGTCTCCTACCTGACCTCAGAATTCTAGCTAATTCTGAGAGTGACTCTGTTGGGATTATAGCATGGCATGTTGTTGAAATACTCACCAGAAAGGAGTGGCCTCAGTGGCAAGTGTGATGGGTGTCTTCTTTTCACGTTTAATTAAAGCTCTTGACTTTGAAAGAAGTAGAAGCAATTTACATTTTGCCAGTTATTAAAAAGTGTATGTGGAGCCCCGAAAATTTGGCACTGTATTTCTGATGCAGTCCAGTGACATGTTAGTTCTCTTTATGAATTGGTGGCCCCAGCAGCCATCATGTGGTTGGCCCACTTCTTTTTTTTTTTTTTTTTTTTTTTTGAGACAGAGTCTCACTCTGTCACCTAGACTGAAGTGCATAGTGCAATGGTGTGATCTTGGCTCACTGCAACCTCCACCTCCCAGGTTCAAGCAATTCTACTGCCTCAGCCTCTGGAGTAGCTGGGATCACAGGCACGTGCACCATACCCAGACAATTTTTGTGTTTTTAGTGGAGATGGGGTTTCACCATGTTGGCCAGGCTGGTCTCGAACTCCTGACCTCAAGTAATCCTCCCATCTCGGCCTGCCAAAATGCTGGGATTATAGGCGTGAGCCACCATGACTGGCCAAGGTTGGCCCACTTCTTAACTGAGCTCTAGTGTGAGTCTGTTCTCTCCAGCCTTCTATAGACTGAGAAGAACTGTCACTTAAATGAAAGCAATGTCATTGAACCACTATGAAAAGATCGATTCTTTTGGATAGATTTTTAGCATTGAGGTCTAGCGCCATTCCTTCTGGCTTCTACTGCAGCTTCTCTTGATTGACTTTCTTGCTTAATCCCCAGTTGATAATATTGTTGCAGCTTTATTTTCAAGTCCTGAATGGGGAGCTCTAAGAGATCCTACATTTTTATGAATAAACTCATATCTCAGTGGGCTGAAGAGCAGGCCTTGAGTCCAAGTCCCATGCACAGCTCCTGTGTAAAACCCATTGCTAGCTCCTCTATTCTGGAACATCCCTACACAGTCTAATGAAAAATAAGTATTGGGTTTGTAAACAAAGTCTATGTCTTAATTCAGATTTGTTTGAAATTTCATTGCTGGGGGAAACCCAGAAGAGCCTCTCACTGAGCTTTTGCTTTGTTTCTAGAGCCTCCTCCATTATCTGAAGGGGGATATAGTCCTAACAAGGGTGATTAGGTAATCAGTGGGCTTGGCCAATGAGGTAGACCGTATTTTTGTTTTCAAATTATTTACCTGCCTCCTCTGTTAAGAGAATAGCACATCTCAACCCATTGTTTGTGACTTTTGATGCCTTCTGTAGGAATAGTCAAATGTGGCTTGTGTGATTCATTTTGATTAACAGCATATGAGTAGATGTGACATTGGCCCTGTCCAGGAAGAAGCTTCGGCACCACTGTGTAAGGACCAGTCATTTTACTCTTCCCCTGTGACATAAGAACAGCCCATTGCACATGGAGGCTGCTTCAGCCTGGATGACTTGAAAAGACAGTAGAGTAGAGATACAGGCTATCTGTAATTGGAACAAAACCACACTGGACCTGCAGCTGACAGGAAACACAACTGACAAAATAACTTTTTTTGGAAGTTGCTGAGATTTGTGGGGGGACATTGTTATGCAGTATGACCTAGCAAATACTGGCTAATGCACATACGATGTCTCTAGACTGGAACCCAGGTCACATAATGAAAATGGTGATTCAGCAGCTAGGGTCAGGGAAATACTGAGTAGCATTTAACACAGATGAGGTTGTTGTCTTGTTTCACACAGAGCCTGAAATAAAAGTAGGTAGTCATGACAGGGCTGTGAAGCTTGAATAAATGGAGCAACTAATTTCAGACTTTCATTTATCCTCACCCACACCTATCATTTATTTGTGGAGGACTTACTGTGTACAAGTTACTGTGCTACGCTGCAGATGCTGACTATACAAAGAGGCATGGAATATAGTCTATGACCTCTAAACTTTCGGATGCAGTTGGTGTAAATATGATGATACTCATATGAGGGTAGCACGTGAACTATGGAGAGGATACATGCCCTGCGAATTTCGAGAAAGGAATTCTCATTTCAGATTGAGCCATTTAATTACAAGGTAGAGGGTATATTTTATTTTGATTTGTACCCTCCAAACGGTGGTATATTGGAGCTGGTTCCTACTGACTCAAGTGAGCCAATGATGCATGTCTCTTCCTGACTCTGGGTTCAGGATATCAGATGGTAGTTTGAAATTAGCCATGGTAGGTGTATTTATACCACAAACCATCAAATACTAAAAATTAGGGCTTTTAAAAAATGTTTGAGAGGCAGGGTGTCAATATGCTTCTGCCTCCAACTACTATGAGGTACAAAGAGTTGAAGTGAATTGAATTGTTCTTGTAGTGAACTGAGAGGTTTTGAAATGAAGAATAATTTCAAAGGTGGTTTTAGGGATATATTAATCTGGCATTGATACATAGGAAATGCAAGAGTTGAGAAACTCTAGCCAGAAAAACGGTTATGAGCCTTTTAAAATAATCTAGCAACAAGGAGCTAAGGAAGTAACTCTTACTTAGAAAGAGGTGAATCAAAGAATCTTTTAGTGAAGACTTTAATTTTGGCAAACAAGTTCAAGCTAAATGACCCTGAGTAGATACTCTTTAAATACTTGTTGAATTAAATTGAATTCAAGAAGAACTGTGTTCCAGAATTTAATTCTCTGTTCTTTTTCTTTTTTCCTGTACTCTTCTAGATTTTGTTCATTCTCTTTGACCTTTATTTGCTTATACATTTTTATTTTTTTATGTAGCTCTCTTTTTCTATCATTTTTTCTTTCTCTACTTCAGTCCTAGAGTAATTAGTAACTAATCACTTTACTAGCTGCCTAGAAACTTGGATAACAAAATCTCTTGGTAGATGGGTTTTAAATGTGGAGTGGTAGATCGATTTCTCCAAAAGAACAGGTAATTTATATTCTCCAACACAGGTATTGCAACATTGAGGCTATTTCTGGATTGAAAAATACTTCATGCTTTCCACATGCTTACTTCAGTAACATTTTATAGATGAAAACAACAAAATGAATGATATATGAGTCACCTTTAAAACGTCAATGTGCCTGTCAAATTAATTGCACCACCTAAACACCAAATTCATTCCTTTAATTGAAAGTCTTATAGGTGCCCCCCTCAGAATATGCTATAGTTAATGATCAATTGTTGCCATAAATGATTTAACATTTGTATACACATGAGATGACATGGTCATAATTCACGGAAATGCCAATGTTGTGAAATTAGCACAAACAGTGATAAATGTGCTGTCAATTTCTATATAATTACCCCAGATCTATCATGCTATTTTGGTATGTTGAAATGCATTAGAGCATACCAAATGTGCATCATCCCAGTGATCAATATCCTATTTCAAATACAAACGTTACTGTATAATTATCATGTTATTCTTTCTGATGGTTTTATATTGAGCTATGTTGCATTTCAATTTAAAAAGTAAAATCACAGAGTGTCCACCTGGATTAGAATCATGACACTGTTCATGATTAGCACATTGCTGATACCTGCAATTTTAATTTAGACATTAATTATGGTTTGTGACTTCATTTACATGTTAGATAATTTAATTCGTCCACTTGAAATAGTCTCTTCTGGCTGACTATATTTTACCCTAAATAAATCTTACACTCTGAGACTTTGCTCTGAAAATGTGTTCTTTCAGTGTGTTTGATTTTTTTTCTTCCTTCCTTGCGGTTTTGCTGTGCTTTCTCTTCTTGGTTCTGTTTATTTAATTTTGCTGAGGTGGTGGTGTTTTCTAGGTCAAAGATTGAGTTCAATTAGGAGGGACTAGTAATTGTGCAATATAAAACTACCTCTCTGCCAGGTAAAACAGATTATTTTTGTACAGTCAGATAGTTCAAAACATTTTCTGATAGTTTCTAGAAACAAAAGAGGGAACATAAACCCTTTGGTTTTGCAAGCTTCCCAGCTTAATCACATCTTTTTAAAGGTGCAACAAGATACACCCTTGGCCTTCCTCATTGTCCCTGAAGACCCACAATAGGGAGTAAGTGGTAATGTGTCTGAAGCCTGCATCCGGCTTGCCTGAAGCTCCAGGTCTGATGTCACCCAGTCATTGAGTGCACTGGCAGAGCCCTCAGCAGACACCTCTCCGGGCTGCTCTGTTGTCTCATTGCTGCATAAGCAGTCTCATATTTTATAAGTCAGATAACCTTATTTTCTTTTTGGAAAAAAATGAGCATTCACTGGGAGATAGTAATCTCGTAAAGATTTTAAAAGACAGGTTAACCTGTGGTCTAAACATCTAAGCAGAAAAATTGCGACCTTTGAAGGAAGCATAATGCAGGAGGAAGTGAGAAACCTGGGAAACTTCTAGGATGTTTTCTAAACCTGTGGATGGTCTGTGGATATAGCGTGCGTGCTCGTCCCGAGGTCTATGGAGAAGCAGCTATACCGGAGTGACAGCAGGGTTTCTCTGCTGGTCTCTGACCTCTCTTCGACTAATATATTCTTTTGGGCCAAGGAAATCCTATATCCAATTGATAACACAAACTAGACAAGAAAACACGTGGGCACACCCCTGGGATAATTCTTTGGAAGTGTTTTTCAGGACTTCGTGGCCTCCAGCCTGCCTTTCCACATGGCTGCTTACCTTTGCCTTGTGA